GCGTAATCCCAAGTGCCAATAGACTTGCGTGCTTATGCGCAATTGTGATTGTAGTATCGGGAAGGGTGTGTTCCCGAAGGTTCGTTTTATCTCGTTTATCCTTGTACTTTCCGAGTATAAATAGGCCTTGTATTCAGTTTTAGTGACAAGTTTCGATTGAGAATTCGATCCTGTGACACAGGGGAAGAGTAGCGTGCAACTACATCGTCGTACAAGGTCTTAGCACTCTTGTACTGACTAAATTGCGCACGCTCAGCGGTCGGTAAGTGGCGACGCACAGCAAGACGGGCAGCAGCATCGCGTGTGGCCCACTGTGAGCGAACAGTGTTGTCAGCATCAGCAGGCGCGGCAGGAGAGGCACCAGAGGTGAGATCGAACAGGGAGAGTCCGTCTGCCCTATCGCACTGTAGGAAGAGCTGTAGGTCATCGACCTAGACCTCGAAGTCAACAGCACGTCCCTCAGCATCAAAGGTAAGGACACTAAGGGTAGCCATGACAGCAGTGGTCTAGCAGGGAGTGCTCTCACCAGTCCGGGTGGGTAGGGCCGGGGCTCGCCGGTAGGAACAGGGCTGCAACCGCGGTGGCAGCGGCTCGGCAGTGGCAGTAGCGGCTCGACGGCTGCTCGACGGCAGCGGCTCGGTAGTGGCGGCTCGACGGCGGCCTCGGCGACTCGACAGCTCGGCGGCTTTGCTGCTTGGCGGCTCGGCGGCTCGGCGGTTCGGCGGCTCGGCGGCTCAGCGGCTCGGAGGTTCGGCGGCTCGGCGGTTCGGCTGCTTGGCGGCTTGGCGGCTCGGCGCTGAAAGGGCCGGGGAGGGGCCGAAAGGCGGGCGGCGACGGGGCCGCAAGGGGCGGCGACGGGGCCGCTAAGGGCGGCGACGAGGCCGGAAGAGGGCGGCACTGGGCACGCGAGAGGGCGGCGATACGGCCGGGAGAGGGCGGCACTGGAGCCGAGAGAGGGCGGCGACGAGGCCGCTATGAGCGGTTGCAGGGTCGCGACGGACGGCGACGCGGCCGCTTAGGGCAGCGGAGGGGCCGCGAACGGCGGCGACGGGGCCGCGAGAGGGCGGCGAAGGGGCCGTAGAGGTGGGGCCGCAAGGTGCCGCTAAGGGCGGCGCGACGGGCCGCTCAGGGCGGTGCGACGGGCCGCTAGGGGGCGGCGACGGGGTCGCGAGGGGCCGTGAGAGGGGGGGGGCGCTAAGGGCGGCGCGACGGGTCGCTTGGGGGAGGGCGGCACACAAGGCGCGCCTCGGTCAGGGGCGACTCGATCTCAGGGCAGGAAAAAGAAAGAAAACTCGATTTTCAGTGGTGGGCCCTAGGAAAAGTTCCAACTAGGGAACCTGCTCTATACCATGTAAAGAAATGAGGAATGAAATGACTAAGGAAAATGTGGGTACAAATAGGAAACCTAGAAATGTTGTACCCTATAGTGTCTACCCCAGTAAAGCCTAGATAGACCATAGCATATAAGTTTGACATTGTACCCTTTATGGGCTACCCCTCTACAGCCTACACAGACTATAGTATAAAAGTTTGACATCGTGGTGCAACGAGTAACAATCCGTGATAACCGTGTGATCACTCTTGATATATACCTAGCTTCTGCAACCGTTTGCTATAGCCAAGTGGCCTTCCGTGATAACAGGTACATATTTGTCATTACCCATATAAATTCAGTTAAATCGTCTTGATGCGATTTCCCGCAGCACGTGTGGCAACCCATTTTCATGGGCAGCGAAATGATGCAAGGCGACGGGGCTGTGAAATATTGGTCACCACGGTGGGGTGTTTCGAATTGTCAAAATTTATTAAACGTTCCGGTTTGCTGTGAGAACATTTTTGCCGACATTGACAGATCCAGTTTTTAGTGACATTAGTGGCAAATCCGGTGGCAAAACCCTCAAAATCAAGCATTTCTATGGCATATTTCATTAATGCCCGGATGAAAGTGGACATGACTTCCCAAGTGTACAGTACCGGATTTGTGGCTGCCACAACCTTTGTTTCTTTAGAGGAAACCAAGCACTGTAGGACATTTGTATTCTCTGGACAAATCATTATTCACCAGGCCCTCAGATTCACTTTAAGGGACGTTGATGCATAAGGGTCCTTGTGAACAAAACCCTGATTTTCAGTGTTCCTAAAAAAAAAAACCCTGAATTTTCAGGGTTCCTAAAAATCAAAGCCTGACACTGTTTTTTCAGCATTTATTTCTCATGGTCGGAAGCATGGTCCACTCATTCTCATAATTACACCGCAACTGTTTCCGCCGCGCCGAGCCGAACTTCCGAGTGTAGATCCTTGCATGCTGCCTGAACGCAAAGGCAATCTTCCATAAAACCCTCTGCGTCCGGAACTTGCCGCCACGGAACACCACCTCACACCGTTCTATCTACAGCGTGGTTGGGCATCATGCGTATGTGCAGTCATATAAGTTATATGAAGGGGATCCAAAATCATATTGTACAATACAGCGAAATAGCATGATCGCCCCGCCCTAAGGTGTACATCCGACGGTCCTTCGCCCGTTTCAACAAACATAAGGCAATGACAGAAAGTCACTCGGAACAATGTGTTGTGAACAGTTAGCTAGCATGGCCGCCCCACCATGCACACTCGCACAATGTGTACTGTACAGTCGGTGCTCATTCGGTGCTCGTTCCAATAACACCAGGTAGGCAGGCGGCATGTGCGTGAAAAGTGTTTCAGTCGTTTCGCCATGTTCGCCCTTGTTGCCAAGGCAAAAATGTGAGTGTAATATGAAATCGAGTTAAGGTTATATATTTCGTAACCATTTAAACTTTTCAGATGACGGGCAACCGTTGTTGTTTATGAACTGTATTTTTTTTTCTTCCTCAACCTGGTGACTGTAACTCGAAATCGGCGCAAACTTTCGCGAGTTACTATAATATATACTATTAAGCCAAATGTTTAGTGATAGGCTGAGCGTCGACTGTACAAACAACTGTACCCGAGCGTCCAAGAAAGCTCCACTTGCCTTCCATGAAACTATGGATGCCAGAGATCGAGGAAATCAGCCTCAGATCTCCTCAGTCAGTGGTGGGACTCAGGGCTGCAGAGTATTCTCCCCCTGTTAGCTTGTTTTCTAGGGTGATATATGGTGCTACCCTGCTGGAATCAGGTTGTCTTTTGGGTTCGATTCGAGCATGCACTGTTACTGAACTTCGCTCCCAGGGTAGCTACAGCGCTTCTGGCGCACTATTACTGCCCAGTGTTCGCTCATAGCGCAGAAACATGTGCTTTCAACGCAGTTTTGATTTCAATGGTCCACACATGGCACATAACTACAAACCGAACCTGTGAATGCTGTCACTGAAAACAGTTACCACTATCACTTGCTTTTAGTGCTAAAAAATATGTATACCTCTTTAAGAAGGGTATCAACCCTAAACGCCTTCAGAATGTTGTTTAGGGTTGATACTCAATCAAGACATGCCATTGAGAAGGGCATTAGCCCTAAGGACGTGGTGCAGATCGCTCCAATCTCACGCAATCGGTAATCGATTGGATCAGATCGGAATCGATTTGGTGTGATTGCCCCGATCTGACGCAATCATCGATCGCATCCCGCGCCGCGCAATCTGACGCATGTTTTTCTATGAAACAAAACGGAACCTCAGCCGCGCCTTCTAGGCGAGCTGTATGTTCCTTCCACCTAGAAGCTGGCGAAACTAAGCGACCATTTGTATCGTGTAATTTCAGGGATCCCCATTACTAGTTCGAATGTCAGGAGATGTTCTGTATTAGCGAGCAAAAGCGAACCTCAACAACTGTAGTTACAAATCGCCTACTTTCGCCAACATACCCAATCTATTGATCGCAGTCGGTTTCAAACGATTGCATCAGATCGAGGCAATCGATCACGATCGATTGCAGTCTCGATCGAGATCGACACATAGCTCCCGATTGCCCAAAAGTACCCCCTGGACCTTCTCGGAATTTGTGGATGCGAGATCAAGGCAATCAACCTCAGATTGTTCCGATCTGGATCACGTCCTAAACACCTCGTCGCCCGGTGTTTAGGGTTGACGACTCCCTCGAAAAACATGCCAGGTTTTATTTTATGCCCGAAATGCTAGCGGTTGACGGCTCGGTGGCCGTCAAACAAAGCAGAGTCATCGGCCCGTCAATTCTAAGACCAATGAAAGCATAAGTCCGTTGAAAGCGCATGTGCTGTTAAAACTGAGCCGTCAACGTAGTTTGATGGCCACCGAGCCGTCAAAACTGCCGCCCAAAACTGTTATCGGCCCGTCAATTCTAACTCTGCGCTGTGAGCGAATTTTGGGCAGTAACAGTGCGCCAGAAGCGCTGTAGCTGCGTGGGGAGTAAAATAGCAGTGCGTGCTATTCGAACCCTTGTCTTCGGAGCTCACACCGCCAGGTTTCTTCTCCTTTTCTCCCCCCTTGGCCTTTCGATGAAGTCCGGCAACGATGAAGTCGAGTCGATAGAGCTGATAACAAAGGGTTGCATGGTTGTCTCAATGTTTGGACAACAAAGGGTTGCATGCTTTGGTGTCAATGTTTGGACAAGGGGAACCTCTGTCCCTCCGCCGCTAGGTTTCAACACCCACCAGCCATGGATTGCATCAATTCAGCCCATCAGACATTTCGTACTCTCCAACCCAAGTCTGCCAGCCTCGCCCAGTTGTCCATCGTGATTGGAACTTCCGCGAGTGGAATCGAGAAATCACGTGATTCGGACTTCCACCGCAATGGGCGACCGCCACTCTGTCCTACAGTACGAACAGCATTCTCGGCAGCACCAGTTCTGGATGCGCGGTGATAGGCAGCTTAAGCTGCTAATTGTTTCAAAACAACGGTCTTTAGATGGGCTTAAAATCATTACTAATCAACGAAAATCAACGTTTTATGGGTGCTTGTAGGCTAACGCTGCTGCGCTGATTGGAGCTCGATTTGTAGAGAGATTTCACAACCAACCCCACTCGTCAAGGAAAAAAGGTGGGTTTGTCACTAACATTGGCAATGGACGACTTGTCGGAGAGTGATCCTCGTTTCGCGCGAAGGCAGGTCCTCGCATCACTGAGCGACCCCACGCCGTTTCTTCCGGCGCAAGGGAGCTTCCGCACCCCAGATCCGCCACGTACGGCGCTGCCGGCGCCTTTGCCGCCATGGAGCGCCGTAGCCCGTTTCTCCTCTTCTCGGGGCCAGGGCTCCCGACCAATCTCCGGAAACACAATACTCTGCGCGCAGAGTCGGCAGTCTCAGGCGGGGCTCAGGCTGGCGCGGTTAGATTTGACGACGGCGGAAAGCGGACGCGGCCGCGAACAGCGCGGGAGCAAGCAGCGGCGGATTCTACCAAGCGAAGATGAGGTAAAAGCCGCTGCCGCTGGCCACTTGGGTCACCACGTAAGTGGTGGCGTGGCTGAGCATGCTGCCGCCTTTCAAAGGAGCTTTGGCGGCGGCAGCAGGAGCACAGCAGCAGGAGCAGCAGGAGGACTTATCGGAGGATCTAATGCTACTAATCTAGAAGCTCTCAGAGATAGCAGTGACATGCACTCTCAATTGGCCCACCTGCTACATCAGAACACTTCTCCCATAGCTGCTGCTGCAGCGGCTGCTTCGGAGGCTGCTGCCATACCAGCAGGTAACACCAAGTTGCATGCTGTGGGTTTAGAAGAGAACCCAGTGACCACCGGACAAGAGGGTGCGGGAGGGCGGATGGAGGGAGGAACGCCGGTAGGGGTCATGGAAAGAAGGCAGCTTTGGGGCATGGGCGCAGGAGTGCTGGGTAGAGGAATGGGTGAAAGGATGGAAGGAGGGTTGGGAGGAGGCGTAGGAGGAGGTATGGGCGGAGGGATGAGTGGGGGGATGAATGAGGGAATGGGTGGAGTTCAGGGGATGAGAGGAGGCGGCATGGTGGGGCAGGACATGACCATGCTGCGACGTTCCATGAACCAGAGAGACTCAAGTGACCCAAGCAACGCTACTCTGATTCCCATTGGCGCTGGCATGCCTGGCATGCCTGGCATGCCTTCCGCTGCTGCTGGTTTCCGCCGCACAGCTCCTGGGTTCTGCATGCCGGCTCAGCCGCTGGCAGGAGGATCGGGCGGCGGGCTGCTGTATGAGTGCCGGTTCTGTGGCAAGGGATTTGCGCAGTCACAGTCTCTTGGGGGACACATGAACACACACCGGCGAGGTTGGTTGAGGGAGGGAGGGTTGGTGGAAAAAAGGAAGGTGGGGGAGGGAAACAAATGGGAGGGGGTGACTCAAAATTCACCTGGGGCAAGAGGTTTGCGCACACGCATGCGCTTGGGTTTCTTGCAAACACTCACCGCCGAGGGTGGTGGGGGGGAAGTGGGTGGAGGGGATGGGGGGGGGGGGGGGGGGGGGGGGGTGGTGGGGGGATGGCGTGGTGGGGGTTGTTTCGATACTGTTTCTGGATTACGAGGAATATTTGCAATACCGGTTCTTGATGTTGATCTGTCTGTGGATGTTTTGATGGTTTGTTTGTTTGTTTCCGTGTTGAACTGTGTGTTTGTGAATCTGTTTGATTGTTGTTCTGTGAATTTGTGGATATGTGTGTTTCTGGATCTGAGTGTTTGTGGATCTGAGTGTTTGCGGATCTGAGTGTTTGTGGATCTGTGTGTTTGTGGATATGTGTGTTTGTGGATATGTGTTTGTGGATCTGTTGGTTTGTGGATCCGTTTTTTTTGTGGATCTTTGTGTTTGTCAATCTGATTGCTTCTGTTTGTGCTCATGTTTGTTCTCTTCCCATATGATCAAGCAGAACGAGAGGCGGAGAAGATCCTACAGAGTCAAGGAACCATACTCACGAGAGATGCGAGGTGAGACATCACAACAACCGCTCCATGTTACTTTTAAGGCCCATCAAAATTCACCTTGAGTCAACCCAGATGTCTCCTTGAGTCGATCAAATGTGACCCTGTAATGTGCAATGTGAGACATCATGTCTGTTCCAGGCTGCAAGATTGCCATGCTCCACCCTGCTCCCCCCCCCCCCCCCCCCCCCCCCCTCCTCCTCCTCCTCCTCCTCCTCCTCCTCCTCCTCCTCCTCCTCCTCCTCCTCCTCCTCCTCCTCCTCCTCCTCCTCCTATCAAGTGCTAACCTTCAGGGAGGAGCATGGCTGCTAGGATTGTCTCTTTTGGAAGTCACACTCATTTCTCCGCTCTCCCATCCATCCCAGGTCACATATCCCCCCTCCCCATCCTCGAATTCCCTACTCTACCCTCCCCATCCTCGAATTCCCTACTCTACCCTCCCCATCCTCGAATTCCCTACTCTACCCTCCCCTCCCCTCCCCTCCTCTCCCTCCCCTCCCCTCCCTTCCCCTCTCCTCCCGTGCCCTCACATGCCGTACCTTCCCCTCCCCTTTCCCCACGCTGCTGATCTCTCCTCCCCTCCCTTCCCCTCCCCCTCCGTATCTCCCCTCCCATCCCCTCCTCTTCCCTGCTGTGCCAGTCTGGGAGACGGAGAGGCGCAGCCGCAGCTGCAAGTGCCTGATTAATAAAGCGGCCCTTTCTTCACCTTGCGCTCCTCAAATGATGTATTCCCCCCTCACGCCTACTCCTATCCCCTCCCTCGCCCTGCACCTCTCCACGACCGTGCCTGCAGTGCTCGGTTGGGAGCAGGAGAGACACAGCTGCTCTTGGCTCTTTCCCATGGAGCTCCCATTTCCCAGCCAGGCATCAGCACTCCAGTGTGTCCCCTGGCACAGGTCACGCCCCTCGCTGCTACCCCTCTTGCCCCTCACACGCCAACTTCCCCTCTTCCTCTTGCCACACAGCCCGTTGCCCCTCTTGCCCTTGGTGCACGGCCCGTTGCTCCTCCTTTGAGTAGCACATTGGTTGCTCTTACTGCAACAGATGCTGGGGAATTCACCCCAGGAATCGCAGCTGCGTCTACTGTAGTATCCAGCATGGCATCGGCTGGTGCAGTGCAGTGTGCAATGCAGGGACGTGGGCCCTCTCTTCAAGATCCCTCCCTCGCAGCAATTTTATCTCAGGTGCAACATCAGGCTGCAGCACAACAGCAGGCTGCAGCACACCAGCAGGCTGCAGCACAACAGCAGGCTGCAGCACACCAGCAGGCTGCAGCACAACAGCAGGCTGCAGCACACCAGCAGGCTGCAGCACACCAGCAGGCTGCAGCACAACAGCAGGCTGCAGCACACCAGCAGGCTGCAGCACAACAGCAGGCTGCAGCACACCAGCAGGCTGCAGCACACCAGCAGGCTGCAGCACAACAGCAGGCTGCAGCACACCAGCAGGCTGCAGCACAACAGCAGGCTGCAGCACACCAGCAGGCTGCAGCACACCAGCAGGCTGCAGCACACCAGCAGGCTGCAGCACACCAGCAAGCTGCAGCACAACAGCAGGCTGCAGCACACCAGCAGGCTGCAGCACACCAGCAGGCTGCAGCACAACAGCAGGCTGCAGCACACCAGCAGGCTGCAGCACACCAGCAGGCTGCAGCACAACAGCAGGCTGCAGCACACCAGCAGGCTGCAGCACACCAGCAGGCTGCAGCACACCAGCAGGCTGCGGCACAACAGAAGCACGCGGCACGCAGCACCACACTCATTGGGCAAGCATCACGTGCAACCACTCTCAAGGGGCATGCACATGCCATCGACGCTGAGGGAAGCCAAGCTGATGCACGGACGGGTGGAGCTGGAAATTTTCCCATGGGCACCACAGTAGTGGGGGCTCCCTACCTACACATTTGGAGTCTCGGTAGCACTCAAGCAATTAACGCTCAAGCGAGAAACTCTGAAGCGCCCGAGTCGCTGTTACAACTGGACCAGAATGAGCGGGAGCTGGTTTGGCAGCACAGGCTGCTGCAGCAGTGGCAGAAACAGCAGGGGCGAGATCTGCAGCAGCAGCAGCAACAGCAAGAACACGAACAAAAACAACCACTACAGCAGCCACAGAAGTCGCAGAAGCAGCACCAGCCACAGCAACAGCAGTGGCAGCGGCAGCAACCATTGGCAACAGGAGTACAAGGAGCAGGTTTCGGCGGAGGTGAGCTGGATCACCGTCTGGAAGAGGGTTACATTGTTGGAAGGTTGGGGTTCAGGCCAATCGCAGCAGGGGATCCCAACAGAAGCGAAGAGAGAGCGCAGGGTGAGCAGGGGGCAGGAGAGAGTGGGGGACGGTGGGGAGAGGGAGGCGAAGGGACAGAAGGGAATGAGACAGTGATCGTGTTGCAACAGGTGAAGCAAGCGCAGGAGCAGAGGCAACAGCAGAATGAGCAGAGGCAACCGCAGAGGCAGCAGGAAGTGGAGGAGGAGCAACATAGACAGGAGGAGAATCAGGAGGAGGAAGAGCTGAGACAGAAAGAGTTGGTGGAGCTGCAGATGCTTTGGGAGCAGCAGATCCTGCATGATCAGCTGCAGAGGCAGCAGGAGAAGCAGCAGATGCAGCAGCAGAAGGAGCAGGGTCGGCATCGGCAGCAGAAGATGAGGCTACAACAACATCAGGATCAGCAGCAGCAACAGGAGAAGGAGCAGCATCAGCAGGAGCAGCATCAACAGGAGCAGGAGCAGTGGATCCTTCAGCATCACATTGAGCAAGTGGCAGAGCAGCAGCACGAACTGGTCCAGACCAGAGGGAGAATGGAGGAGGGATTTACACTGGCCCAGCAGCAGCATCAGCAGCAGCAGATGGAAGATGCTCAGAAACTACATGATTTTGAAAAGCAACAGCAGCCAGTTCATCAAGAACTGCAACAGCAGCACGAGCTGTTAGCTGGGCTGCAGAGGGATCAGATACAGAGGGTGCAGCAGCTGCAGCAGTCACATCATCTGCAGCAGCAGCAGCAGCAGCATCAGGAGAAGCAGCAACAAGAACGAGAACAACCACCACAGCATCCACAGAAGCCGCAGCAGCAGCACCAGCCACAGCAACAGCAGTGGCAGCGGCAGCAACAGTTGGCAACAGGAGGACAAGGAGTGGGTTTCGGCGGACGGGGGCTGGATCACGGTCTTGAAGAGGGTTACATTGTGGGGAGGTTGGGGGTCAGGCCCATTGCAGCAGGAGGTGATCCTGACAGAAGTGAAGAGAGGGTGTGGGTTGAGGGGGTAGGAGAGAGTGGAGGGCGGTGGAGAGAGGGAGGCGGAGGGATAGAAGTGCATGAGGCAGTGATCGTGTTGCAACAGGAGAACCAAGCAAAGGAGCAGAGGCAACAGCAGCTTGAGCAAAGGCAACAGCAGTCGCAGCAGGAAGAGGAGGAGGAGCAACATCGACAGAAAGAGAAACAGGAGGAGGAGGATCTGAGTCAGAAAGAGTTGGTGGAGCTGCAAATGCTTTGGGAGCAGCAGGTCTTGCATGAGCAGCTGCAGAGACAACAGGAGAAGCAGCAGGAGCAGCAGCGGCAGAGGCAGCAGAAGACAATGAAAAAACAACTGCAGGAGCAGCAGCAGCAACACGAGAAGCAGCAGCAGCAGCAGCAGCAACAGCAACAGCAACAGGAGCAGCAGCAACATTGGGTCCTCCAGCGTCACATTGACTTGACTCGGGCGATACCAGAGGAACCGCAGCTACAGCAGCAGCAGCAGCAGCAGCAGCAGCAGCAGCAGCAGCAGCAGCAGCAGCAGCAGCAGCAGCAGCAGCAGCAGCAGCAGCAGCAGCAGCAGCAGCAGCAGCAGCAGCAGCAGCAGCAGCAGCAGCAGCAGCAGCAGCAGCAGCAGCAACCTCTGCAGCAAGATCTGCTGCAGCAGCAGCACGAGGTGTTAGCAAAGCAGCAGGAGGAGCAGGTACAGAGGGTGCAGCAGCTGCAGCAGTGGCACTCAGTGCAAAGGCAGCTTCAGCACCAACAGCTGCAGCAGCAGCAACAGCAGACACTGCAGCAGCAGCAGCAGCATGAGCAGACACTGCAGCAGCTGCAGCAACCTCTGCAGCAAGCTCTGCTGGAGCAGCAGCAGCAGCAGCAGCAGACACTGCAGCAGCAGCAGCAACCTCTACAGCAAGATCTGCTGCAGCAGCAGCTTGAGGTGTTAGCAAAGCAGCAGGAGGAGCAGGTACAGAGGGTGCAGCAGCTGCAGCAGTGGCACTCAGTGCAAAGGCAGCTTCAACACCAACAGCTGCAGAAGCTGCAGCAACTGCATCTGCAGCAGCAGCAGCACGACCAGGATCCGGAACGAAACGAGAACCAGGATTATGCAGCATCAATAGGTCTCTCATAGTTCATTTCAGGAATGACAGGCCTGATGCCATGCTCTGAGGTGCCTGTTATCGGACGGAAGAATGGGCACAGAGTGGTGAGTGGACTGGTGAGTGCAGTGCAGTGTTGAGAATGGCATAGACATCAGGATGATAAGAAGTGGCAGTGTCAGCAGAACCCACAGGTGCACTTGTGCAGTGCATAAGAATACACTGTGCAGGTAAGAACAGTGCATGTGACTGCAGTGCACAGTTTGCATTTTGGGACCGTACACAAGCCATTCCCCACAGGGTCCCACTAATCCATAGAGGCATTGAGGCACGAGACCCCCATTCCCTTACAAGGCGCATTCCCAAGGAGAGTATGCAAGAGTTCTGAGGTGAGTGCTTGTGGATTTTGAGGCTAGATGCTCACCAAAGAAATGGAGACCCCCAGCATCTGGTTGGAGACTGGGCTGGAACCCCCATTCCCATACTGTAGGCAATGGCATCACGTAGAAGGCAAGGAGCTTTTTGGTTGCAGGCTGGCATGGCATCCATTGCAATGCCTAGTTTCAACCGGTTTTGCCCTGTACATATGCGGGTGTGTTGTTCCAGCTCTTTTGCCTTATAGAATGGAATCATGTATTGGTACAACTTTGGCAAAACAAATAATTTCTTTACATGCTTCTTTGTTCCATGGGCTTGTCATTGTGGAGGATTGAGTTGCATTCGGCTTCCCCCTCTCCCCTTTTACTACATTGTTTTCTTCTTTCTTTTTTGGGATGTATGAACTTTGTATTGTGATCTTCCAAATACCCCTGTTGTTGGATAAACCCACACCCCCTAACCCTCTGGCTCGTATGACACCCTGGTTTGACTAAATGGGCACCCAGGTGTTATAGACTAAGGACGGAGTCTATAAAGATTATGGGCATAAATTTTCTCAAAATCGTTGGTCTCAATTTCTGGACAGAAAAGTCTTGTTCACAAGAAACGCCGTCGACGAAAAGTTCACGGTCAAAACTTCACCAAACTCAGATATGATGTAGCTCTACGCGATGGCTACAATTCCCAAGTTGAATTATACAAAAAGGTGAAGTATTTCTTGAGTTACCAATTTCGACGCACTAGGGGGTATGCTGCCATAGAATCTTAACTCAGTCACAATAGTCTCACACAGGTTCACAATTACTACACAAGAGAGTTAGAGTAGCACTAAACCAGGTGGGATAGGATGAGGAGGACGAGAGGGAAGGTCCCAAGAGAGTCCCCAACCAAGGAAACCCCATGCCACACAATTCCCTTTCCCATAGGCAACCCAACTTTGACATTTGTCACTTTCCCAACCCATGCCATCCACCTTGCCCAACTTGGCCACACTTGCCAACCTGGTTTGGTTTCTCCCAACCATTTGGCAGCAACTACAGTAGAAAAGACGAATTTCCCAACCCCCAAAAGTCTGTACCCTATATTGAGTCAACCCCACAACTTCCCATAGTTGCCACAATCAAATATGAAAAGCATACGAACTCCAACGTTCGTAACTTTCTTGTTCGTGCTCCGATTGAAGCGATACTTGGTTTGTCGGAAAGCTCTTGAGCAGAGGAGTCACTTCAGATATCTGCTCAAGCCAAATAACATTTGCACACACTCAGAAAATTCATACCACACAAAACACAAATTCTTGCACACGCTCACACCACGCATGCAACGCACGAACATATGATGGGAGGCAGACAGACGTGAATGCATATGTTTGCATCACATAACACCAGGAAATAGAGGTCAGTACAAACACAAAGCAAACATGACTCGAATTAACAGAACATCCACTGTAATTAGGGTGTGTGGGCTTGCTGCTGCTCCATTTTTATTGCATTGCCTGCCATCGGCTCGCATGAATATGAGAGATATCCATTTTCCACGATCTTTCTGAAAATGCGATCACATCAACTGGATCCCTCGGTTTCAGGTACACTGTGGATAGGTACCCCGGGGTGTGGTACCGTATACTGTATACCGTCTATTCCCGGATATAAGACCCGGGGGACTTCCAAAAATTCACTAAAGAGTGTTAGGGTGAACATCCTGGAGGCGTGAAATTGATAAGACCCCCAGACATCTATTTTACTCATAAGGGACCATTTTTCCCCGATCCAAAAGGTTTTTTCTACCAAAATCGAGCATCACTAAGAACAACCACAAAAGTGCCTAGTCATACGTTCGATCTGACATAGTCAATGCGTCAGGTTTCAAGTCACAATTTTGCTTTATCCACCCAAAAACTGATTCGTGAATGCGAAAATCGTTGAAAATTGCACAATTTACACCAAAGAGGGGGGTCTTAAAATGTTTGATATCAAAGGGGGGGTCCTCACGGATTGGTCTTAAATAAGCGTACCACCCCCCCTCCCCCCCCACCCTCCCCGCATATGAGGCGCAGGGGACTCTCTTACCAGAGGGTCCTATTTGCGGAGAGTCATTCTA